CTGTAACCAAGGCACAAAAGAGGACTGATTTGCAGTGGTCTTTCAATAGACAGTGTTAGACAGAGTCACATCGGGCTCAGCATTCATTCGCGTGTCCATGGTCTAAGGACATGTTTTTGGGAAGACAGGCTTTGCCAGAACCTTAGGCTGAGGCTGGGACGTGTCTAGTAAGGGGAAATAAATTATTAATGGCACACACCAGCTGCTGAGCAAAGAATTTCTTGGCCTCTCGCTGCAGGAACCTTGAAGAGGATTAAGGCTCAGGAAAAAAAATTTTGGGAATAACACAGGACCCTTTGATAGAAAATTCTGTTGCAAAGAATTTCATCATTATCTTTGTGTGCAGTAATACAGATGGAGGGGAAATGCTAAATCTCCAAAGACTCTTTCAGGCAGAAAGTAACCTGTGGAAAGTCCTGAACAGTAGGAATACCTAGAAAGTCCAGGACTGTGAAAGCCATCGCTAATGGAGTTGACCTTGAGCAAGAGTGGAGAAAACAGCGAAAGCGTTTTGTCATCCCATTTTCAACCACAGGCTCCGTCACAGTGCTAATCTGGTCATGTGACCATATTCCAGTGCGGTTCGGTGTTAACTCTGGCCAAGCTGAACTCTGTACCCCAGTATCTGTGCAATCTGAATCTTTTATTTTTACTTGTAGCTACCCACAAGAAAAGAGGCCTGCGCATGTGGACTGTGCCCAGCGATTCAGGTAGATACATCACGAGGAAATGGACAGGGGTTTTAAAACCAAGCTATATATTTTCCTCCTCTGTTGTTTCTGTATGCTTTCTAGATGTTTTTACAGCAGTAGCCAGCACCTGGAGGGCTGCATGAAATTGATCAACTGGCCCGATTGATCCAGTGGCCCAGCAGAATTATTCCAAGAGCTGAGCTGCAAACAAGAAGACCTGCTGACACACCAGCTCCTTCGGGACCAGGACTGGCTGCGCTGGTCTCGTTTTGTTTAATATAGAGAGGCTTGTGTGCAACACTAGTGGTGCGGACTGTAGGAAGTCTCAGGTCTAAGATATATGGACAGCATGGGCTGTTCTGAATCCCATAGTTACCCAAATATACCATATTTACCCCAATATAAGACACGCTTTTTTTTTACAAGTTTCAGGGTGGTTCAGTTGGCCTACAGTTTGTATTCACATACAAGTAAAAAAAAATTTGGGACATATTTACCACCAGAGTGCTGAACGGGGTTGGACTGTTTGCCCATACTGTAACGGACCGTCATTTTACCTCGTTCCAGTGTGTTGCTGGAATTGAGTGATTAAAAAAAAAACATGTATATTCATCTTCAGTTATACAAAATGAACAAGACATCGCGTTCAAGAAGGGGGCATTGCTGTCCGCTGAACAGCAAAGGAATCGTTAGGCTGGGAAGCAGTTATGCAGTCGCAGAATTTTGTCTTTTGAATCCCTCTCCTTTTTTCCTTTATTTCTTTAAAACCAAGATAACTTTTTTGAAATTTCAACAACTTCTGTTCAGAAAGGTAACTTGTGCTTTGTAAAGTTTTTTTGTTTAATTCCGCATTCCAAATTTTAGGTGTGGCTTATATTCAGAGATGACATGTATTCGGGAAAACACTGTATTTATTTCCTGTTCCAGGTGGTCCAGAGTCAATGAAAAGCTTTTCGCAACAACTGGGTACCCAGGGAAGATAAACAGCCAGCTGCTGATCCATCACCTGGGCCATCCACAGGCAAGTGAGCCTTCTGCTCCCTGTCGGGCGAGGGCAGCAGTTCACAGCCTGGCTTCGTGCTCACCAAGTTACAGAAAGGTCCCACACTAAAGTGCATGTAAAGTGTGTATGTCCAAGTCATATCACGCAGTGTTGTTTCATGCTTAAACATGCTGCAAACATTCAGCCAAATTACTTACATCATAGGATCGAAGAAGAATACAAAATGATCAGTTTTGAACAAAGCTCAGGACAGCCCACTGAGCCGAGTGTTAAATAAACTGTTATAGGTCACAGTATTACATCTTGTTTAAAACCTTAAAATAACATTATATCAACATAGCATAGGGATCTAGGATGGTACACTTCTGTGCTTTTTGGCAACAGGATGATTCATGTGTTTTTTTAAAGAAGTACCCAAAGACTAGAATTTCAATAAAAGCACACATCTGAAATTTCAAACATTTGGTGCCCCCCAATAATCTGCTTTTCATATCGTACCTTTAAAAGCAATCATGGATATGCTGATCTGATGAAGGTAAATTATACTGTTGTGTTGTGTATCGATAAGTTAATTGTTATTTCAATGTTGTTTGTGATTGCAGCCGGTGATGATTGGATCAGCTTCTGTGGGGGCGGGGCTGAGTTGGCACAGGACCCTCCCACTGTGTGTGATTGGTGGAGACCGGAAGCTTTTGTTTTGGATGACAGAAATGTAAAATCGGCTGCATAATATGTTCTGTTAAAATGGCTACAATTTCAATAAAAACTTTTTTTATAGAAGTGTATCAGTTAAACAATGAGCAGTTGTTCTTCTGTTCTTCTGAGAGTGCTTTGCGTGTTGCCCACAAAGGACAATAACAGTTTGATTAAAGAGAGCAGGACACGGATGTTTTTATTAGCTTTTCTTAGAAAAGTATTTCAAAGAACTTAACCACCGCTGTCCAGCCCAGCTGAGGGCGAGTCTGGGGTCAGTGCTCTCTGGAGTGGAATGTGTCAGCGCGCTGCACAGCAGATTCGTCACTTGCAGAGCAGGCTCCAAGTTCGGCACAGAGCAGGCTCGGTCGAGACAGACGCAGTGCACGAGGGGGGAGCCTGGGCGCGTTACTGGCAGGCTGTGGGTTCGAGCCCCAGGGGGGACACTGCTGTTGAACCCGTGAACAAGGCACTTCACTCATGTGGATTCATGAAAACACCAATACAAACATGAACAGCTTTGGATAAAAGCATTGGCTACATTATTAATAATAAAGTTCACATGAAATGTAGATGTTTATAACAACCTTCAAGAACCTGTGCTAGGCAGCACATGTTCCTGGGGTGGCAGAGGTGTGTATTTGTGCCTGTAAGGATCACCTCCCTAACTCTTCCAAACGGGCTAGATGGGCCGCCGGCTCTCTTCTTGTCCATATCCGTTCTTCTCTTGTTAGGAAGAAGGTTTGCTCTTTTCAAAATTATTTTACAGCTGTGAAGAGCATGTTCGTGTGACGTGTGAATAAGCAAAGATATAGAAACCAGAGGAGTGAAAGGTGGCCAGATCGACAAGGAAAAAGAAACCCCTTCACAGAGCAAGTGAATTGCCCCAGGGCTAGCATACGCAATGAATGCTCAGCTAAGTAAGGAAAGGTAGGCAGAACAGAACACTGTTGGGGCTGTGCCTAACTTAAACCCTTTTCTTCCCCAGTGCCATAACCAAAGAAGTACCTTAAAGTGTGAGACGGCATCTCAGGGATAGAAATGGATCCATTAAGAAGATGAAAAGGCATGAGCACATGTGCTCTGTTACTCAGATGTTCAGGAAGGAAGAAACACAACAATGGTAAAAAATGATCCAGTCTCCAAGGTACCAAAATTGAAGAGTTCCACATAATAGGAGAATTTCAGACAAACCAACCTGATGGTGGATATGACACATGAACCACTTGCAAAGCATTGATTCAGTTTGATAGGCATTGTATAAGCTATACTGTAGCAAGTGAATGTAAAGAGTCACAAGATTTAAACAAGAAATTTATCTGGACTATCATACAAGACATTAGAAAACAGCTATAAATTGAATGGTTCGAGATTAATCTGAGGAAGCAAAAATACAACTGTGTGTACTACATCATATGATTTGCAAGCACTGTCTGGGATCTAAAGCATATTGCTGTTTCCAAATGTGACTTAAATACTCTCTTGAGCAGCACTCTGTCTGCAGAGTCATCAACACAGAGTGCGTGCACACTCACACATAGAACTGACAGCCTGCGGGCATCGTGAATGAGCCTACTGAGGTGGTCAACAAAACTAACCACATGGGTAGAAACTCACGAACAAATATTAAACGGTGTCAGTATTATTCAGCTACGTGCAACATGTGTCGATCCTGTCATCCCTTGAGCCTCCGTTCCAACTTCCTTAATGACAGGACAGTCCTCTCTCTCTGGTCCAAGGGAATTGCACTGGATGATGGCCCTACAATGTCTTGATTTCCTGGAGGTTTTGGGGCAGTTTTGCATGAAAGGTTAACTTTGAGGAAGCGCCCCTTTTAAGGATAGGTTAGTATTCAGTAAGGAGGGTAATAACATGAATCAAAGTAGCCAATAAGCCCCATGTAGCTAATAGAGTGATGCTGAGATCAGTACGAGCCCCCAGTGAGCTTTCTAATCTACATTAGTGACCTAATCCTGGGTGGTGTCAGATAATTATACAAAATTAGGTTGAGAAGCAAACCCCACTCATGTAGGAAGAAATGCGGTGCAGGTATTAAATGCAAATAAGATTGTACATTCTAAATGTCAAGCAGGATGCTTAGAATTGCTGTAAAAGGTTCTGAGCTGACATTCAAAGATCTCTGGACCCCCGGTGGCTTTAAAACTGCAACATGCTTCTGCAACCATATTCAGAGTACTTCGCTCAGTTCCAGTCATTATACTGCATGTCAGAAATACATTGGGAGGAATTTCAAGAAGGGCAGCAATGTTTTCCATTCGAAAGGAGCGACAAACAATTGGCAAACGAATGAGAAGGATGTGATGGAGATGTTCACAGTCCTAAAGGAACACAATAACTAGCACAGCTTCAAGCTTAGCAAGGACACTGTGACCAGAGGACACAGACACAACACGCAAATGTGTTAAAGACAGAAAACACTGTAAGAGTGCGCGTGTGGCTGGTACACACAGAATTAGAGTGTGGGTTTTTTTTTATCGCATTTTGAATTGGAATCTTTTAGGAGGAATGCAGCAAAAGTGGCAAAATCAGAAAAGTTTGATAGTGAAGCTGAAGTGCAGGTCATTTCTGGGACATTTAATTTGATGACGATGTGCAGACTGCACATTTTTTAAAACAGATATAGCAGTAATAACACCACGTCTTTCACATTTGCCTCGTGAAATGACTGGATTCCGGGCCAGATCGGTCTTGTGAGGCACCTTTTTCAAAGACTGCAGGCACAGGAGGCCGTGTTGACACCCAGCCAAAAAGTGGGTGAACCCCCGAGCAGAGGGTATTTGAGGTCATGCCAAGAGAAGGAAACGGAACAAAGCTGGAAGAGATTTTTTCAAAGAAAACCTCAGGAAACTAAGACTGGGGGTCTTTTAAGGTCGTATACTGCTGGTTGGCAGGAACCACGAGGAGCAATTAGAGATTTCAAGGAAAAAGTGGAGGGGGAGGCGGGCTGGTCGGAGGTGGAAGGCTGTGCTTCAGTCAGTGCGCAGGAGCTGTCCGACACGGCTCTGCACAGAGGCTGCCACACTCGGCCCCCCCATTTCACAGCGAGGAAAACAAACACGCTAGTTTAATAAAGGGAGGAGGACAGTGTCTCTTGTTTTCTCCTCTCTTTTTCACGCCTGTTCCTTCTTCACTGTCCTCACAGGTCAGATATCCTGAGAACATCGAAGGAGCAGAGACCTTCCACTGCACAGGTCGATAGGCCGTATTCATTTAGAGCCATTTGTCACTTACTGACTTGACCTTTTCTGTTCCGGATTGGAAACGTGCTTGACACGTGACACAATATGTTTAACGCAATGTGAATCCATTAAGAAATAATAGACATGCATGTGTGATGCGAAACAAAATAAATATTGATAAATATAGTCAAATATACAGTCAGCAATCCCAATTGAGCAGGATAATTGCTGTTGGAATTAAAGTGACTGTACCTGATAGCTGTGAATTTTCATTTTTTGACCCAGTAACAAAGACTGACTGAGGTAGCGGTTTTCATTATCAGCACTTTTACTTTTAAATACGACTTCTACCTAAATGCCGTGTTTTTAATTTAAAATCCTGATGTCTTGAAGCCTGAAGTTCAATATTGGGCAGCCCCTTACAATGACTGAAGTATAT